GTGTGGGTGTGTGTGTATTATATATATAGTACCTCCATCCACACCCATCGTTAAATAAACGAAGCTAACTTTCGAATATTGAGAGGTAATTGTGAAATGCAAGTTCGAACCTTATATTATATTGAAAAAATATATTCATCAGTGTGGAATAATAACTCTTTTTAGTTGAATAGATACTAAGAAATATATATTCTTTATAATTAATTATGAGCATGATTTTTAACAAAGAGATGCGCAGAATATGTTTAAAATATCAATAAACTCTGGATTTGATAAGTGAATGTGCTTCAATCATTATTCTTGATGAGACTCAGAATATTTTGTATTTATTATAGCACATTATTAATAATGACTACTTTACTTGTCTTTTTTTCATTCATTAGTGGTAAAATCGTAGAATAATTAAAGTTTATATTAACAGATTGATCATAGAGTTTAGTTTTTCTTTTGAACGATGTTCTTACTGCAGAATCAATAAGAGAATGAAGAATACAAGAAAATATCTTTAAAATCGTTGTAATCGCGTTCAAGTTTATGCTCCTTTTTAAATTAAAAGGAATAAAGGTATAAATCAATGTAGGTAGAGATCGTTTTTATCGTATTATATTAATCATTAATATTGAAAATATCATTGTGCCTTTTGTAAAACGAAATAGTACTTTTAATTTCGTCAGCTGAAACTGGCATATTACTAATACAAGAAAAATGATATGTATGTTAAAAATCATATTAAAAAAGTTTCATTTATAGAAATATTTCTATAGAATACTGTCTTTTTTCTATGTAATATATTCATAAAAATTTTAAAAAAAAAACAGATATTTTTTTCGAATTAATTAGAAGAAAAATCATCGTCGGATTTTTCCATCTGAAACGCAATAAATAAACATATTACTAATTTACGAAGGATAAAAATTTATTATGAATAATGATGAATATTTTTTACTTCTATAAAGTATGACTCTGTAGATTAAAAGACTAGACAAGAATGACAAAAGGAAAGCAAAGAAAGAGAAACACATGTAAAATTGATTATATTTCTTTTTTCCTTTTCCTTTCTTGGCAACTAACAGCTGATTAATGTATCAATCTAACAGCGTTGTTTGAACTTTTTACATAAAAAATAAGCATGAGAATGACTCTTTAAATGGTCGAAACGTTTGATTAAAATAAAAATTTTGATCATCTATTATTTTAAATGAATTTATTTACAGTCGTTATCACTCAACTATTTTTAATTAAAAGAGTTGTAAAATATAATAAAAAATATTCGCATGACAAAAATTAACTTCTTAATAATTTTTCTTTGCAAAAGAATGTTCATTGTTACTATATACATATATATATATATTAGTCTATGCCATTCATGTTAACAGACGACCTCTTTATTGGAGATAATATCATGTCCCGGGCACTAAAAATTACACATGGATACAGAACAGCACGTGTACGTGCATCGTGACATCACGTGTGCCAAGACGCACTAACCAGACGTAAGTGCACCAATAGTGCACAAGTTGACTTGGAATTCTTCAGTCCGACATAAAAAAGGGAGTGTCTATGTAAGGATATAAATAAGAGAAAGAGGAATGAATGATTGCAGTCACTGAAACAATCCGCGAGTGCATTTTATCGAGAGTGAACACACATGAAAATGATTGTATTAAAGCTATTTTTCTATGAAAATTGAATCGCCGCGATAGGGTTAAGGTATTTATCTTTTATTTGTATTTATTAGTGTCGTTTCATTCTTTTTTATTAAATAAAATGTGAATTAAATAGAAAATATCTTAAAAATCGCTGATTTCAAAGAAGATTTTACCATATTATTTATGATCTATGATTGATGAATACTTAGAAAGTATTATAGAAATGTGTAGCTTAGAAGATAAATAGTTTTGTAACCTCCAGATAGATAAAATTGTAGAGAAATGTTAGGGTTATTGAATGACACAGGTATGAGCAATTGTATTGTATTGTAAACAATAGAAATTGCTGCAAGTGTCTATTTATCCCATATCTAAAAAATAGATTGATAGAAAAATATCTTCTGTATAACAATTGTACTGCAACTCGTTTTCTATCTTCAAAATCGGAAGAAATGTAACAATTTATTTGAATAGACAAATAAATACTACATCTATCTAAATTCTAGGAAAAAAAAATCAAAAATTATATATAGTTTTTTTTATTACAAAAGATTTTCATTTAAATAATATTATTTTTCAACAATTCATTACATAAATATTATCATTAATGAGAGCAACAATAATAAGAATCTTCTCCATATTTATGTATGAAGGTTTTTATTTATTCTTGACAATGAATTTCTAACTATTAAACTTTATACAAACGTGGAGATTATTTTCAATTGTTTATTTCTCTATCGAGTTTCTGTTATGTCGAAAGGTCGTTAAGAACAAAAGATTGGTTGCTATTAATGAAAATATCAGTATAAAAGAGAATCAAATTGTATTATAAAGAACGAAGAAACGAGAAAGAAAAAATAACATATAGTTAATAATACAATATAGATAAATTACTTTTTTTCTTCTATAATTGTTCGAAAAAAAAGAAATAGTCTTGACTAACACGTGCATCCAGACATAGACATTTATTCATTGTATATAGATGCACTTAATAAACACAAACAGAAACAGATATTCACATGTTATAATAATACTCTTCTATTGATCGAATAGGTGTTTAGACATGCAAAAAAGTACATAATATTTTCTTTTGTTAAAATTTTTTTGAAGATCTATACAGGCAATCACGTCTATTAGGTTAAGTAGAAGTTTGATTTGATACCGTTTCTCTTTTTTTTTATATTTTTTTTATAAAGCATAAAATTTATCTCTTAAAGGTCATGTATATATATAGACATATGAAAGAGTAAAGAAAAGAGTGCATCCTTTTTATAGAACAGAATTATTTTGATTTTAATTGCATATTAGTTTTTTCATGTTATTGAATGTCGACTACTGCAAAGTAGTCGGTATATATTTTTAAAAACGTTAATTTATAAGAATATTAGATCTTTTTAGAATTTTAATTGAAGAGATCTATAGTCATTATGACTGCAAAGTGGGTGAAAATCGATGTTATTTCTGGTCTTTTTGGTGTTGCAATTGGTTTTGTCTCATTTTCATTTATTTTTCAATGGCAACAAAAAAGACGTAAATCTCATTCATCAATATTTAATAGTGAACATGAAGAAAATTTACATTGGAATCCATTAATAGAACGACGTGGTTTAGGTGATCTCCTAACACGACTTAATCATATAGCAATAACTGTATCAGATGTTGGTAGATCACTTAGTTTTTATGTTGATATATTAGGATTACAACAAATTCGTCGTCCAACTTTTGATCGTCATGGTGCATGGTTAACAATGGGTAATATTGAACTTCATCTTATCAAAGGTATACCAGCTATACCACCTGTTGATAATCTTCAAGTTGCACATCTTGCATTTCAAACATCAGATATGAATGAAGTATTACGAAAACTTCATGAATTAAATGTAGATGTTCGTCAAAGTTTAACAGTTACAAATGCACATAAATTGATATCTGAAGATAAACCAGTTATTATTCAATATTTTTTCAATGATCCAGATGGATATTATATTGAATTATGTAATTGTGATGTTCTCACAGAATTTTCATTTAATCGCAATTTAACTATTGATAATATTGATTATCATGAAGGTATTTTTCATAATAAAATATTTACTATTATTAAAGTATTAGCAAATTGGAAAAGACTAGTTCGAAAACATTCTGACGAAGAATTTGATAATATATTAAAAAATACAACTCGAGCAAATGAAATTGATGAAAAAAAATTTAATAATCTTATCACACGACGATCAGTTTATGGTGATATTTTACAAGGATTTAATGATGAAGATATTAAAGATGCTTTACTTCAATCTAATAATTGTATTCCATTAACAGTCAAAATTCTGGCTAGAAAACGTGGCGAAAGAAGATTTTATCGACCACCTTCTTTCATTGAACATGGTGAAATAGTCGATCCTGAACCATTTATTATGAATCAAAATAAATCTGATTGATAATTAAAGTATTCACGCAACAATTTTATATTGCTTTTTTTTTATTATTTTTTATTTTAAACTAGTATTGTTCATTTATGAAAAGAATATATGAAATTGTAATATTACACAATATTTTCTGTCTGTTTTATTCTTTAGTTTTTGATCATTGTCTGATCATATTTGATGTTCCATATTCGTCTTGTAACTAAACAAAACTACTCGCATAAATACTTGTTATTCTTCAATCATATTAGTCATCAATTTATTGATTTAGAATCAACTGAGATTAAGCTGAATAAAATAACAGAATGTAACGATGAGGAACTTGTTGAATTTTTGAAAATATCGATTCTCTTCCAGCTGATCAAAATGCGGATATGAACAAATGAAAAATTATATTTGAAAGATATTATACTAAATACTGATATTGATCAAATCTCTCAAATATCTCTAAAACTAGAACAAAACGATATTCTTTCGATTTTCGATAAACTTCATTATTTAACTTAGTGCAAATCATTTTTTGGAATAATTAAATTGTGTTGTATATAAAATAATATTTGAAACATTAAAATATTATTTATTTGAAATGACTAGAAAAGAATTTATTAATCAACTCCTAAAATGAGATTTCGTTGATAATCTGTCAATTCAATAGTATTTTCACCCCTTGATATTTCTCCACCCATAGTTTGATATTCATGTGGCCAATGTGACGTTGTTAATCGATAACGAAATGCATCTAATCGACGATTAATTAATTCATCTGGATTTTCTGCAAATGCTAATGGTGTCATACATACATAACTAATCATTCTCAATAAACTAGGTATTGGATCATTATTCAATGGTTGTTGTCGTGGTGTTACAAAAGAAGGTGTATTACAATGAACAGTACGAGAATCCCATAATAATAAATCACCTGGTTGAGCATGAATTAATAAACCATATCCTTCTTGCAATATTTCATGAGATAGAGGAATTTTTGAATTATTTCCGGTTTTTTTTCCATATAGAAAGTAATTCATGAAATCGATTATGTGAACCAGGTATAACCATTAATCCACCAGTTGTTTCATCGGCTGGTAATAAATTAATGATACCTTGAACACAAACACGATCTGGTTTTGTCACTGGACTTTGATCAACATGCCAATTAGCTCCTACAGTTTTCCACGGATTCGTATTATTCTCAATATCTCTTCCTATAATATGTAAAAAAAGGAAATAATATAGTCATAAATTTTATAGTAAGATGTAGAAAAAGCATGATGAATTTATTATTCTTACGTTGAACTTGTGGGTTTAAATGCCAAGGTCTAAAAATGCCAATACCATCCATTGAACATAATAAATCTCGTGTCTGCCAAATTTCAGCAAATACATCTTTAACTGCAGGTACAGAACGAACAAACCATTGAGCTTGTGAATTTCCACTACCAAAATCTTCAACAATTCCAGCTTCATGTCTACCTGGCCACTGATTCCATGTTTGTATTTGTCCTCGTTTTATCTTATATGGAGATTTAAGACCTTCTAAATGCTGCCATATAAGATTCTTTGCTATATTGACTTCTGATTCGTCTAATACATCTGATATAACTGTATAACCATGTTGCTGAAGATGGCGTAATCCATCAGCAAGTGTTTGTGGATCTTGACATGAGAATCGTTGAGATACTGTTCTATAATCAATTTTTACTCCTACACGATCAACTTCCATCATTTCTCGATCTTGATTTCTAGCAGCTAGATTTGCCATTTAGTTACTTTATAATAACAAAAAAAAAACTACATACCTTTTCAGTAAGAAGAAGCGAATATATAGAGTGTAGTGTGTGGTGGAGTAATAACATATATTTCGAAATTTTATTATGTAATGACGCAAGAAAGAAAGGAAATGACGTTTATATGATAAATTCGTCATTTTATGGTTATGTTTATTGAATGCTTAACCATGTATTAACATTTGTCATTATAACGATCGTATATAATAATTATTTGAGGGCTTCAGATACGATTTTCTACTTATTCTCTTATGAATCATAAATTCGAAATGATCCAAAAGAATCCTAAACAATATGGTTTACTTCATTCTCATGGATAATATATCTTTAACTGTGGCGCAAATAGTTGATTGTGGATATTAGTGTGCTTTTTCTTATATCCTTACACATATTCATATCATTGTATTAAAAAAATACATACAAAGTAAATGATACTTCAAGTTTTTTCCCACAAAATTGTATAAGGCAAGATGGGATAAAACAAATTTCCCACAAAATGATTTCTTTCTCCATTCTATTTATATCTCTTTCAATGAATATTAAACGTTGTTTTTTAAATGGAATGTGATTGATGTATGATTAAAACAACTTAGTAACAAAACGAAACAAATAAAGTAATTATCAATGGGAAAAAGCGATTTATAATTTGTTTGATTAAAAAATGATTAATTCTATTTAAACTGATTTAAATCATCTTTTTCTCTCTTCGTAAGTAGTCATTATTAGGGATTTTTCCCACTTTTTCTTTTCTTTTCTTATCCAGTAAATATTATATCGTAGAAAATTCCAACGGTTTTTTCCACATTTAGCTTGTTTATAATATACGAATATATTCTATTCGAAACAAAAAAAAAGTTTTCAGTATCTTTCATTGAAATAAAACTACATGCGTGTATATTTCATTTTCGTTGTTTTCTATCGTGTGATATTTATTTAGTAGAAGACTTTGACCTATGAATCATACAATTCAACACAATATTGTTCTGTCAAAGGTAGTAAAGGAATATAAATGTAAGAGAAAAATACAACCATACTCTTATTTTTTTTCTTTCTTTCTTTCTTTCTTTCTTTCTGTTCTTCCTACACATACGTGTCTTATGTTGGAAATTGCCAATTAACTTGATATTATATTAAAATTCATGATATAAATTATTCATTTTTAACATTTTACAAAGAGTGTATTCCTAGAGTATCTCTGACTTAATTTTACAAGACTTTCTATTATTATCTATCATTTATGCGTAAAGTGTATTCTCAATTTGGTAAATATATTACTTTGTTTTATTGTTTTTCTATTATGTGTTTATATTCAGTTAACTTGATTTTGATAAGCTATTATATTGAGATATATCTTCATTAATCTTTGTATAAAATACTAAAATTTATTAAAGCTTATTTTTATTTTATAGAAAAAATTCAATAATGTATCAGCAACAAATAAATAAATTCGACTATGATCCTCGTCTGTTAGACAATAATTTAGATACTGACTTGGACATTAGTAGAACTATGTACACACCAACTCAATCCATTCTTTCGTTAGTTTTCTAGTACTATGAATTAAAAATAACGAAATTATTTATCTTAGGTTAACAATACCTTTTACATCTAAGCAACCAACTCTACTAAACAAAAGCCCGTCCATAAAACGATCGATCTCTCCCATCAATTATTCGTTTTCATATAATATGGCTAACAATGAAGAGGTTATATTTGAGTCTGACAACAAAAAGATAAAATTAGATATTCCAAATTCATCCGTCATACTCTCACAGAACAAAATCAAGCAGAAATCATCTACAAGTACTGTTGTATATGATAAGAAATTGCATGAAGAACAAGAAAAAATTGCTCATATGGAACGTGTTCGAAAACAACGATCATACAATGGTGATTTAATTGATTCTTACAAACAACGACAATGTGACGAATTTGAATTAACACTTGAAAAAGATCCAGAAACAAATAATCCTATTATTGAAGTTCATTTATTCCTTGTCATGGATATGAAACAGCATCAAAGTAAAAAAAGATTAATCGATTTACTTGAATTTATTTTTTATCATTATTTATCTAGTTGATGGTGTACAATTTTTATGGAAACAAGTTTTTGATTCGACACATCAAATTGCAACTAGTATTGATCGGCGAACTCAAACAGATAGTGGTGGTTTGGGAGCTATTTTAGCTCATTGTATGGGATTAGGCAAAACGTTTACCACTATTATATTGATTCACACACTTTTTCAATATTCAAAATTAACACATATTAAACGAGTACTTATACTATGTCCACTAAATACTGCTATCAAGTATAAATTGATTTTATGCAAAAGTTCTTTCATTTATTTTCTATAATTTTAGTTGGAAAAATGAATTTCATTATTGGTTAAATGAACTTCAACCAAAAATTAATGTATATTTATTTAGTAGTAATGATGTTCGTGCCAATGATCGAGAGCAATATCTTCATCAAGTTAGTAGATACTTCTTATGTGATAATTAATAAAAATATGTTTCATTCGTACTTTTTAGTGGTATGAAAGTGGTGGAGTTCTTTTGATGGGTTATGAAATGTATCGTCAATTAACATATACATCCGAAGATAACCCTTATGAAAATTTGGAAAGAACTCGAAAAAAAACCCAGAAAAGTACCTTCTCTTACAGAACTCGCTAATATTGAAAAATATCGTATGATATTATTTCTTTTTTTGTTATTCATTCTAATATAACTCGTATTCTTAGGAAGGTATCTACGTGATCCAGGTCCAGATCTAATTATTTGTGATGAAGGCCATATGATGTATGTTTTTTTTTTTGATAAATATATATTCACTGTTTAACTGTCTATTTTTAGTAAAAATCGAAAGAGTCGAATTGCTTGTACATTGAATGAAATCCGAACACGTCGTCGTATTATATTAACCGGAACACCAATGCAAAATAATCTACAAGAATATTATTCAATGGTTGATTTTTGTAGACCGAATTTTCTTGGTTAGTTTTCTTTGTCAAAAAGCGAATAAATGAATATAAAAATATATTATTATTCTAGGCACAGAATTACGTTTTGCAGATAACTTTCGTAAACCAATTGAAGCCGGGCAACATCGAGATAGTTCAAAAGAAGATGTTGACTACATGCGTCGTCGTGTGTATGCACTCAATAAACGTTTACAACCTATTATACATAGACGAAGTTTCGAAGTTTTACAAACATTTTTACCACCAAAATTCGAATATGGTGTGTACTATTTCATTTTATTATTTTTAATAAAATATAGGATTATTTTTCTAGCTATTAAAATTAAATGTCGACCATTGCAACGAAAACTTTATGAAACATACATTACACATCAAAATCTTAATGCTGAACTTGGTAAATATTTGATAAAATTATAAATTATATATTCGATTGATATTTCTTTAATAAATAGATATGACTAAATTATTTGCGGATTATCAATATTTAATGAAAATTTGGACGGTTTGTTAAAAAGAATTTTATTTTAATCTTATTTTCATTTTTATTTTATTCTTTATTTTTAGCATCCATGGCTTCTTCAACCGTATTTTATTGAATATTATAAAAAAAACATTGAAAAATGGTGATCAAACTGAAATAGATCTTGCTATTGAAGATGAATTCGATGACAATAATAATAAGATTAATGAAATATCAACTACACACAATCTATTTTCATCACGAAGCGAAAATATGTCGGATAGAAATGTTGAGGAAGATGCTATTAATGCAATGAAAAACCAATGGTGGTTCAATATGTTCAATCCAAATAATTCACAATTCGATGTAAATAATACAAATCTTTTATAAAAAGAAATATCATTTATTTTTCATCATTTCTAGTTTGAACTATCTGGAAAACTTGTCGTATTGAAAGCAATTTTAGATGAATGTGAATCAATTGGTGATAAAGTTCTTGTTTTTAGTCGAAGTTTGATTACTCTTAATTATATTGAACAATGTCTAGCACATTGGAGCAAACAATCTTCAACATCTGAGTGGCAAAAAGGTGTTGATTATTTTCGAATAGATGGTATGACTAATCATATATTTTATACGAAAAAACAAACAAATTGAAATATTCTAATCTTTAGGTAAAGTTCCAATAAAAAAACGAGCAGATGATATGAAATTATTTAATGATGTTAACAATTATCGTAGTCGTTTATTTTTAATTTCAACAGTTGCTGGTGGTTTAGGAATTAATCTTTTCTCTGCTAATCGTGTTATTATTTTGGATACTAGCTGGAATCCAGGTTAGTTTTCTAGAAACAAAAAAATATTCATCTATATATGTGTATGTATTCATCATCAATTGTAGCTCATGATCTACAAGCTATGTTTCGCTCTTATCGACTCGGTCAAACAAAACCCGTTTATATCTATCGTAAATTTCTTTACTCATTTTTTTCATATAGAAATAGTTACATTTATTTAATCAGGTTTAATGGTCAAAGGCACAATGGAAGAAAAGATTTATAAACGACAAATTACTAAACAAGCTATGTTTCATCGTAAGTTTATTTTCTCATTTTACTCTTCTATTCTTTCATATTTTGATATAGGTGTAGTAGATGCAAAGCAACTTGCACGTCATTTTACTTATGATGAGCTTGCTAAACTTTACGAATTTAACTTTGATATTGAAGATGATCCAATAGATCAAGATGGTATTAATCGAGTTCAAGATAAAATATTGCGAAATTTATTACAAAACGATCCTGATACAATTGTTTCTTATCGTGAACATGATTCATTTTTAATTCATAATGATGAAGAGAATTTAACTGTAGAAGAACAAAGACAAGCTAAGGATGAAGGTTAGCTGTTTTTTTTTCATCTCTTTTTTTCTTTTCTGAACTAAATATTTTTTTCATAGATGAAAACCCACACTTACGACTAAGACGACGACCACAACACCCATCTCCATTAATAAACAATGCCATACCCATCATCGATCTCGAAAGCGATAGTACACAATCAAGTGAAGAACAAACACAACCTATTGATGAAGGTTATTTTATTTTTTTTAATCGTTTTTTCTTATCTGAACCAAATATTTTTTTTCATAGATGACAATCTATTCTTGTCACTACAACCACAACAACAATCATATTTATCTCAATTATTCGGCAATATCACACCTCCTGATTCTGAAAACTATGGTATACAAGAAAGTGAAGAACAAAATAATTTTTTTCTAGAGCCTTTTATGTAATTTTATGTAGTAATATAAATAAAACGTTTGTCCGTGTTATACAGAAAAACAAGCATTTATAGATTCATTTATAATACATCATGATAACAATAATCCGACAGTAGCATAATCAAATTAACCTATCAATTTTTTCTTATCTACAAATCAAATAGTTTTCTCCTGTACTATCGTTGGTTTCTTGTAACATCATTCAAGATAATCTACTGTACTACTTAAAGCATGCTTAATCTTTTGTTTCAATTATTGTCATTGATACGCCGTCTTCTTTTCTTGACGAAATAATAGATAAAAAACCAACTTTTTTATTGAATTGTCATTATTCAAATATTATTTAAGTAAATATATTCTTAGTAGAAAATATGTAATTACCCCTTATCAAACAGAAAACAAGGTCTACCTTTATCTTCAATTATCATTGATAATAGCAAACTAATATGTTTGATCTTAAAATAAATATTTTTCATGAAAGAAAAGCAAAAAGTGAAAGAGTTCGTAATATTAGTATGAAAGGTCCACAACTTGACCTAAATTCTAACTTCCAACAACCACTTGATTATAACACAAAGTAAATTCAATTCATACTATTTTTCTTTATTTCTTTATATATAGAATCGTTTTGAAGATACAACGAGAAAAAATGAATAATTCTATGATGTTGTCGTTGATAATGTCAAGTAAGCATCTTTTCCATTTGAATGAAAAACACAACTTTATATCACCGATTGAGCGACTAATTACATGATGAATAAAGATCAAAGAGAGGAGAATATGAACATATATATATAGAACGAAAGAAAACAACTAACAACTTGTATATTTAATATTTATTTAGCAATGATCTTTGTTACAGATGGATTAAATTGTATTGTGTGTTCAAGCACGACCAATATAGCTTGTTATGATCCTTACCAAAATGGTTCATCAGCAACAAGTAGTTTTCCACAATCAGGCTTCACATCTTGTCTTGTAAGTGACAACTCTTATGTAATATTCTTCTTCCTTAATGTATTTATCTATTTATTAATTAGAAAACAATGTATTCTGGAACAGCTACTATCTATCCAGCAGGTACAGTAGTCCGCGAGGGATCACATAGTAGTTGCATTGCGCCTGAAACTATTGGTGGAATTGCAGTGGTTTATTGTTGTTCAGATAAAGATAATTGCAATGATGCAACAACCTGTCGTGCATTATTCTTAGTTACTATCTCGTTTATGATCGGTTCTTTTTTTTGTCAAACGAATATTTCTATGCTGAATAATTATTTGTGAAGTTCATTGAATAAAAATCTATCAAATGAGTAATGTAAAGCAATTGTCTTGCTCTCTCAATTATGTGATATCAAATGTCTGTAGACACGCAACAAATAACTTTTTGTATTCATCAGTTAAGTATCTTAATATTTAATTTTAGTATCTTTCATATATCATCAAGTACAGTTAATACATTTACTCATTATTACTTGATATATAACTCACAATTTTATCATAATATGGACATATATCGACTTGATCTTCTTGAATCTCATTTATACTCAGTCTCTTAGTGATATCTATCGAAATTAATTAATACAACTTAGAGTGATCGAATAAGTCATATCATATTGATATAAAATAAGATGAACGTACTTATTTATATGCTTGTAAATCAATATAAAATATAATTTCTACATTAATGACTCACAGAAACGAAATCTTTAAATGTAACTCCATTGGCTTGATGCTGTACCAATGAAACCTAGTAGTAAACGAAAATAGTTAGATAGACACCTACTTCATTGTATTATTACCAATAATTCTGATGCAATAAACTGACGTTTATTTTTTGAACAATAGAATTTGATGATGCAATTGATTTATTATAAAAGATCAAAGTTTTATTAAATTTTACAATTTATTTCAGAATGTCTTTCCCATTAGCAGAAGAAGCTATCAAAAAAAACGACCGAAGAAGTTGAAGATATTGTTGATCCATGGAATGTAACAAGTAGTTCCGACAAAGGAATCGATTATGATAAACTTATTCGTATGTTACCTATTTAATCTTTCTTAGTTCTTTCTCATAAAATTTTCTTATTTTTACATGAAGGTCGTTTTGGTTCATCAAAAATTTCACCTGAATTAATAGCACGTATTGAAGCTATTATTAAAAAACCTGTTCATCATTTTATTCGACGAGGAATTTTCTTCTCACATAGGTTTATATTTTAAATTATCATTTAATAAAATTAATCTAATTATTTATTTAGAGATCTTGAGATGATTCTTACCGCTTATGAACAGAAAAAACCATTTTTCTTATATACTGGTCGTGGACCATCATCTGAAGCGATGCATCTTGGTCATTTAATTCCATTCATAATGACAAAGTAATATGAAATTATTGAATAAATATAAAAAAATAAAAAATAAAAAATAAATTTTAGATGGTTACAAGATGCTTTCGATGTTCCATTGGTAATTCAAATGACTGATGATGAAAAATATCTCTGGAAAGATATTAAAATTGAGGATGCAAATAGATATGCATATGAAAATGCAAAAGATATTATTGCATGTGGTTTTGATGTAACAAAAACATTTATTTTCTCGGATTTTGATTATATGGCGTATGTTAATTGAATATTTTTTTGTTTTTTTCAAAATTTTTCATTTTTACTTTAATAGTCAATGTCCAAATTTTTATCGAAATATTGTTCGTATTCAAAAGAGTGTTACTTTCAATCAAGTTAAAGGTAAAAAAAATGAAATTATATTTATTTCTTTATTTTATAAATATTTTTATTCGAATAGGAATATTTGGTTTTACTGAAAGTGATTGTATTGGAAAGATAGCTTTTCCAGCTATTCAAGCTGCACCTAGTATTAGTTCATCATTTCCAATGATCTTTGGTGATAAACTTAAACAAGAACTTGCTTGTTTAATTCCATGTGCTATTGATCAAGTAAGAATTTCTCTGAAAATAATTAAATAATTTTTAATTGAAAATAGGATCCATATTTTCGAATGACACGTGATGTTGCACCACGTTTAAATTTTCCAAAACCATCATTACTTCATTCAACATTTTTTCCAGCACTTCAAGGCTCAAAATCAAAAATGTCTGCATCTGATGCAAATTCATCTATTTTTCTTACTGATACACCAAAAAATATCAAAGATAAAGTAAATTTTATTTTAATTTAAAAAAAAAGGAAATCTATATTTATTTCAATAAAATAGGTTAATAAACATGCATTCAGTGGAGGAAAAGAAACACTTGAAGAACATCGAGCTAAAGGTGGTGATTGTGAAATTGATGTATCATATCAATATCTTACATTTTTCCTTGATGACGATGAACGACTTGAACAAATTCGTCAAGTAATTTATTTTATATTATGAAATTTGTTTTTCTTTACTAATTTTTATTTTAAAGGATTATACATCAGGACAATTATTAACCGGTGAATTGAAAAAGATCTTAATTGAAGTTTTACAAGAATTAGTTGCTCAACATCAAGAACGAAGAAAAGAAGTATCTATGGATGTCGTACGGCAATATATGACACCAAGACAACTTAGTTTCCGTTATTAAAAATATTTTTATTGTTTTGAAGATAAGAAAAAGAGAAATAAAGGTTTTTATTTTAAAAAAAGATTTTTAAACGTTAACACCAGCTTTTCTAAAAGCTTGAATAAATTGTTGTGGATCTTGAGCTCCACTCAATTCAATTTTATCGTTAATACGAAAATGTGGTACACCGGAAATACCTTGTTCATCTTCAAAATAAGCACAAAATAAAATATTAATTAAATCATATTGTTTTTTTTTCTCCATTTTCTTATTCTCTTTTTCGTAGAGAAGAGTCCAGTGAACATAAATTGTCTAATTGATTGCTTGCATGTCTGTCCGCAGGGTCAAGAAAATATCGAAAATCAATTTTTCGAAAAAGACATTCCTAGAGGTATTTCGATGCGGCGAATTCAAATATACACCTCATTTGCTCAGACTATTGAAGGAGGAGTGTAGCCTGGCAGAAGTAACGTGAACTGATAGAAACCGAGTTTTCGGGTAATGTATTTTTATGGATATCTAAATGTTCCCCTGCTTGTAGTGCAGAGTGTTCCGACCATAACCTGTTGGCTTTCTGGCGTATAAGATTGCTAAGAATTCACTTATTTGTTAAAGACTAGTTCGACAAGCCACTGGCGCCGGCAGCTCAAGTATATTTTGATCTATGTTTACCACTGAGTGGGATGTGAGTATGTGCCAAGAGTAATGAACAATAAGAGAGATCAAGGTTTTCAATTGTTTTTCCAGTAAATTTGAAGAGGATGCATTTTTACGAGAAAGAGCTAAGCGAGTCCGGGGATGAGCGTTACTTGTTTCATAAACATACTAGTGAACGACGTTCAACTCGAGAATGAAAAATGTTTTAGTATATGACCCATATAGTAAAACCGAAATAATTTGATATATTGGTTTATTTGCTCGTCGATGGTATTTTGTTGTATTTCTAAACGATCTTTTATCAATTCTATCCCCATAATTATTCTTTCAAATATAGTATTAAGATTAAATTTCACATTTTCATCGATATTTAATAATCCTAGCACTTTTTTTAAAAACTTATGTAAATCTATGTTGTTATTAAATAATTCTTCAATTAATGGATAGACACCGATCATTGCTTGTGCTTTTGTTTGTTCAATATTATTTGTTATCTTTAATAAATCGTTATCAACTAATGTTTGAAAAAACGTTTTAAAGATACCTTTTACTGATTGATCCGTATTCTTGAGTTTAATCGAATTGAGATGTAGAATATCAAGAAAAGCTTTTTGCACTGAAACTGTATTGAAAAATGCGATACGAACCGGCTCACCATGGTGCTTATGTAGCATACCCAGATCGAACAATCCGGCACGGAAACGGCCGGTTCCGTGATATTCCGGAGATTTCATGGAAGCAGTATTCTCATTGAACGGATCCGGTGATCGGATTTATTTGGTTCGGGCCGGAACCGACAGAAACAGTCGACTCACTTCGCGATCGGATTCCTGGCATTTTCCGAGCGGGTTCCGTCCGGAAATGGCGAGTTTCCTCAGGGATTTTGTCGAAAATTTATGGAATCCTGCTTCAGGAACCATCGTCCTGGGATATAGTCTCTACATAAGATCATAAAATTACGAAAGAAGGAGACACTTTTTTAACAATAATTATTTTGCACATCGTTAAAATTTTTTTATTATATAGACAGCCGTTAAAAATTTATTTGAAAATTATTGACTCTTTTTGAGTAAAGTATTACAAGAATCAATTAGTTTATCAATCATTGAAATAACAGACTTGTGAAACAACATGTAGTTTGTTAATACACATGATACTATTTTGATTGTTGTAGTTATTTAAATATTTGTCAACTATTATTTACAAAAAAAAAGATGAAAATATTTAGGTAATTCGATATCATATGCTACAATTTCCTGTCTGAAATGCCTCATTCTGAAAACAGATATTTTTTAAATATTTTGCATCGAACTACTTACCATCAGTAACATATATAGTTGGCTTTTCAATAGTAGATATATCAATAAGAATGTGCTATTTATTATATTCAAGCAGATGTTGTGCAATTGAATGAAAATATTTATTATTTAAGTAGTTCGCTCATTCATAACAACATCTGTTTTATTTATTTATATCATTTGATAAATTACTCGACGTTTTTGATAATTTGACAGCTATTCAAGCTGCACCTAGTATTAGTTGCTCAACATCAAGAACAAAGAAAAGAAGTAACTATGGATGTCGTACGACAATATATGATATCAAGACAACTTAATTTCCGTTATTAAAAATATTTTTATTGTTTTGAAAGATAAGAAAAAAAGAGAAATAAAGGTTTTTATTTTAAAAGAAAAAAATATAAATTTTATGTTTTTAAACATTAACACCAGCTTTTCTAAAAGCTTGAATAAATTGTTGTGGATCTTGAGCTCCACTCAATTCAATTTTATCATTAATACGAAAATGTGGTACACCGGAAATACCTTGTTGTTGACTTTGATTAATTTCATGTTGAACTTCTTTTTTATATTGATCTGATTGAAGAAATTGTTTGATGTCATTTCCATTAAAACCAATTTGTTCAGCTGCTTTAGTTAATACTTGATGATCAGATAAATCTTGTTCATCTTCAAAATAAGCACGAAATAAAATATTAATTAAATCATTTTGTTTTTTTTCTCCATTTTCTTGTTGTTTAACATAATGAAGAAGACGATGTGAATCAAATGTTGAACCAATTTTACCACCAAATGAAAAATTAATTCCTTCTTGTTTTCCTGTTTCAGTCATTTGTGGTACCATTTGTTTAACACGTGCTTCACCAAATTTTTGCTTATAACGATCCATTTTAAGAAGTGATCCATCTTGTGGAAGACCATGATCTAATTCATATGGATACCATGATATCGATACATTTACATTGGATTTATCGATTTGAGAAAGTGCTTTTTCTAAACGACGTTTTCCAACATAACACCAAGCTATGAAGAAACAAAAAAAGCATTTAGATTTCACTTTGAATCTAGTTTTACTCACGACAAATATTATCACTAGTTATATCTATTTTAAGTTGTTTTTGAGATGTTGCCATGGAATTTAGTTTATAATATCTTAGAAAATTTAATACTAAAATATTCCCAAACAAATGTTTTTTCATCAGATAAAAAATAACTGAATAATCCAATCTGTAATATATATATATTAAGAAAAAACAAACGAATAGACATATTTAAACAAAAACGCCGTTTTTTTGTCGTTGTTACAAAATGAAAATGAGTAACAATATTTGTTAAATAAAAAATAAACAAAAACAAAATGAAGAAATAAATAATGTTTTGTGTTTTTTTTATAACAATTTTAATGCTAAACCAAGTGACCATGCAACTTCAAATTGTTGAATTTTTTTACAAATATGAATTTCAACATCTTCTGATAATCCATAACCTCTTGTTAATAATGAATAAATATATGTTAGATCAAAACATAAAAATGGATGCTCTTCTGATGCTGTTGTAGATCCACGACAGATATTTTTCGCTGTTTGTTTCAATACTCGAATTGGCATTGTTTTTACTGATGATGGATCATCATCAGTTGATAAAAGACCAGCATCATTTGCAATATCATAAAAATATGAAAATACATAGATTGACATTTGATCAAGACCAACAGCTGGTTGAACATTTAAACTAACATAATGATCAATTGTTGACATGCATGAATAAAAACGTTCATCAGAATTTATATCTAATTTAATAAAAAAATAGATTATTGATTATATTTTAAATCGAAAATAAATACCTTCATGAGCTTGAACAGTCCAAGTAATATCTTGAAATTTAAATTTTCCTGTAATACCATTTACAAAACATCGACTATGTAACTGATGTGAATCAACTAATTGTTTATTATTTGTTTCATTAATAAATATTGTTTGACGTGCAATCATTAAACCATAACCTAAGTATGAACGTGAATAAAGTTTTATATCACGACGAAACATTCGAAATTGATGCATATGTGACATAACAATTTCTTCTTCAGTTAAATTTTTTTCATTATTCGACATATCTTGTTGTTTAATATGTTTAACTGGTTTAATTTCTTCTAAACCAGCTTGATCAACATCGATTTTTGGCATTTGTTTTTTATTTTTATTTGATGGATCACGAAATGCATTGATTTGTTCAGGTTCAATTGGTTGTTGAACTTTTAATAATAAATTTAATTTTTCAGCTAAACTTGTATTTGATAAAGCTGGATTATAAGTTATTTGAGTTGAACCACCACCTAAATCGAGTGCAGCTATACGACTTCCATAAAATTGTTCACCTAAAAACATTTCAATTATTTTTAACAAATTATATTATCTTAAAATTACCTTTAAGATAGACAAGAGTAAGCCAAGCATCAATTCCTTCTTCAGTTTCATTCATAATAGCAATATCCATTTTTGGTCTATAAAATCCATATTTTTTAAAAGTATTTGAAACACTTTCTAATAAAAGTTTTTGTTTTGTTTCACTTATTAATCTTAAACCAGCTGTAGCACGTAAAACTAATGGTGTACTTCGATGTTTAAAACGACTAACTTCTTTATCAGCTATTTGTAATAATTCATCGATTTGTTCTTCCGCTTGAAAAACTCGATCAGCAAATGATGATAAACCGGGTTTACGTTCTTCAAATATTTCATTCTTTAAAACAAATGTATCACCATTCTCATTATCAATTGTTGATCGAAATTTATAAACATGTATACGTGTACCCGTAGAACCAGCATCTAATACTAAGACATATGAATATGGATCAAGAAAACGAAGTAATGGTGATAAGGATAACGATGAATATAATATAAATATAAATGTTATAAAAATTAAAATAAATAGAAGATTTCGTATTGAATAAAAACTTCGTGATGATGTTTTTCGTTTATTAAATAATGGGATCATTTTCTTTTCTGGCACGTTTGGTACTCTTTGACGTATTTGTTGCTCTGATAATTGTTCTTCAAAATACGCAGTGGCAGTAGCAACTGTAGACATTGGCGATAGATCGAATTTCTTTTGCACTCGATTCAATTGAACCGTTTATCAACCAATCTAAAAACAGACAATTTATATAGAAACACAATATCAAATTTTTCAATTGTAATTTGTTTATTAACATAGCATAAGTACAGCATTCGTCATAAATAAGAGATAATTAATAATTATTGTCATTTTATTAATTATTTACACTAATATTTAACTAACATAGGTATGATTCATATTTTTTCAAATGAATGTTAGAAAATAATTCTCATATTTTGATAAATTCTTTTATAAATATTTATAAAAAAAGTATTTCAAGTTTCTTATTCTCACTAGGAAAAAAAACAACTATTGATATCCAATATAAATATAGTCGTAGATATACTCTCTAACAATCTCAATAAATATCTATTAGAAAAACATTGTAAATTTAAAATATTTACTTTCTAGACGAATGATTTTTAAGCTTTTAGACTGATTTGTTTTCCAGATGATTATTATTTACAAGCAAATTAGTTATACTTAAAATAATTACTTCATTTCGAAAGTTTAATAAATTAGCTACTATTTAATCAAACTAAAAGCAATAATGACTAATCTATAAATATTCATCAAGCAGCGACGTATATATATATACTTGAAAAAGTCATTGATTATTCTAATATTTTTAATAATCTATGTTAGGAAAAAATATATTCATAATCTAATTGTACATATGAATACCTAATATAAGAAAAACAGATTGTTTCATTTGAAATTCAAATAAAATTTGTTTCTTTGACGTTATATTAAATTAATATGTCATCATAAAAAGAAATTTTTCTAAAAAAAAATAGGCATAAAGAAAAATAAGAAAAACAACGATGACTGTTGAGTGAAAGTACTCATACAAAAATAGATGATAATACGTCACTGTCTCATTTGTTCTTTTATTAACCAATGAATATTTTAAATAAGAATAGCGTCATCTACTCAAATTAATATTTTCAAACTCAATTTATATAAATATATTAGGAATAAAGGAAGGTTAAGAGAGAAAAATATATTGGTTAATTATAAACTTACTGGGAAAAAAATTCTATGTTAATATTGATCTCAAAATTTTATTTGAATAAAACTTAATGAATGGTTCCCGAAATATTTGAACAAATTTTAAATTTATTTGATAATTGTCATTCACATGGAAAACCTCTTCAACTATCTATTGATCATGATCTTGTTAAAATTCTTCCCCTTCCACATAAATTAATTCGTGATTATCTAACTGATCAACCAATACATGCAATTTGTTGGTTATCGGAAGATAAAAATACGTTGTATTTTAAAAATAATGTAAAATGAAAAGTTTCGATTAAAATAATTTGAAGAAAAAAATTCAATATTTATTTTAGCTTTGTTTATGTTCAACAGATCAAAATCAAGGTGATTCATGTCATTCATTAACATGTGAACAACTTCATATTTGTCAAGATTATATTTTAAATAATAATTGTTCACAATTTCAATCATTAGGAAAATGTTCACATTCTCATTCATTATCGACAGATCATAATGAAAAAGTTTTGAATAAATTTAGTTTATCATCAAAAGATGAAGATATATTTAAATTTATTTCTCGTCTTACTCGACTTTCATTACCATCGTCTTCACTACCATTATCATCATCAAATCAATCGAAAATTCTTGTACAATCATTAAATAAACAACATATATCAGATGATTTGATTGATCAATGGTTAGGTACTCATAAATCTTTATTAGTTGATCAAAAATTAATTAATTCATTTACTATTGAATTAATATTTGATGATGATGAGAGTAAATAAGAAATATATTCTTTTGTTAACATTTCGTATTTTGATTTTATTTTAGTTGCATCAATGATGAAAAATATCATAAAGAGTGATCATTCAACAACAGCATTGATAAAAGAAAATTCTTCTTCATCTAATGTTTTCACTTTGAATGATTTTTCAACTACACCAAATGATAATCGACAAGACAGAGATCTTGATCGAGAAGTTCAATATACAACAGAGAAAGTAATTTTATTATTTCTTTAAAATCTAATATTTCTATGAATAATTTGTTCTAGACTTCATCGACAATTGATCGAAAATTTTCCAATCAATTAAAAACAAATGATATAAATAAATCATCTTCTGAATATTCAATTCCAATAACATTTGGACGAGGTCGTGGAAGACAAACATTTAATACTATACCAAATATCCCATTAGTTTCTCGAGAAAGTTCATCTTCTTCATTAAATAATCAATCACCTCAAAATTCCTTTCAAAATATGACACCAAAACTTTCATCTCCAAATGATCAAATATCATCGAATGAATCATTTTCACCTACTGGGAAAAAACCTATTTTTTCAAATCGTCTTAATTCAAAACTAACTGAACCAATCAAAACAAAATCAGTAGATAATCCTTCAAACTCAACACTTCAAAGAACTAATACAAATCTAAGTTATTCTCCAGAACAAACTTCTCCTTATGATAAAACTCAATCAACTAGTCCATTAGAATCATTTAATAGACAAAATAATCGAGATGATATTCATAAGAAAAATTATTCTTCACCAACTTCTCCAGATGAAAAATGTAAACCACGTTTTGTTCTTCGTGGAAGTTTATCGAAAAATATTGAAAAAAGTCCAGTAACAACAACAACAACAACAACAAATCAAACATTAATAACTTATAAATTCAATAAACCATTTTCTGATGAACATGTATAGATGTTTTATCTTTTTTAATCGAATAATTATTTTCTATTTTAGATATGTTATCTTCTTGGTCCTAAAAGACAGTATATAATTGAAAAAGATCATTGTCAAATATTATCTTGCTTACCATCAGGTTATTGTCGAGTAATACGTTTAGAACAAGGAAAAGAAATTGAAAAACATTTAAACTCACTTTTACCCGAAACATTAAATTTTAAAGTTGTCAAAACTAGTGATGATCTGGCACTTTTAATTTGTTCATCAGCTGGAGAGAACATTTTTGAACAAAGTAAATATATATATATCTATTTTATTGTTAAATATATATATATGTATAGATCAAACGAAATATGCTATTATTTCTGAACCAGCAAAAGTTTCATGTAAGTTTCTTTATTATACTTTCATAATTATTCAAACTCTTAAATAATCTAAATTTATTTTTTTAGTAAATATCGATATAATACAGACATCTACTAACGAATGTACACAATCATCACCAATATCTACTAGACATGTAAGATATTTTATTTATTCTTCGACTACATCCTCAATTTCAAATAATAATTTTAATCGAATTAGACTACATCATCTAGTACTCAACATAACAATTCTCAACAAGTTCGTTTTATTTGTATTATTTTGAATATGAATAAAATTTTTCTAATAGATATCATCTGATGGTAAATTTTATATTAGTAAAACAAATTCTTCAATTGATGTTATTTGTGGTGATATAAGTGAAATTCCGGTAATATTTCTATATATTTTATATAATAAATAAAATGAAAATTCTTGTCAAAAGGTTGATCTGATGATATGTATAAGTACATCGAATAATTTATGTAGTAATGTTCTTCGTCGTGCTGGTTCAGATGTTCAATCAAAATATAAAGAAAGTTATAAACCACCAGATGCTGTACTTCTAAATGGCGGTTTAACCAAAGCACAAAAAATTCTTTTTATGCCATGGGAAACAGATATTCAGAAAGAAGAAACAAGAGAAATTCAAAAAGTTAAATGATTTAGTTTTCTTTACAATAATAAAATTTGATTTCTTATTATTATTATAGTCTTTATCGGATTTAGTTAAGTGGTGTATTAATAAAGCACATAGTCGAAATATGAAATCAATTTCATTTCCACCTGTAAGAGATTTATTTAAAATAAATTTCAAAAATAAATAAATAAATAATTTTACATAGATTGGTACTGGTCAACTTGGTCTTGATCCAGCTTTTGTTTCTGAAGCAATGATTAGCGCAGCAAGTGAATGTTTACATCAATATCAAATTGATGTTACATTTGTTATTTATTCATCAAATGGAATGAATGAAGATGATGAATGTTATCAAGTAAATTATTGGTTATGTGTTTATTTTTATTTCTATAAAAAAATCTTATTTAAATAGATTTTTCGTATTTACCTCGATAGTCTTTGTGATCAAATTCAATCAAACAAAATTTCAACACCAACAACAAATCTGAACGTAGAAAAACAATCGATTAAAAGAAATACAGAAAGTTAGTTTAAGAAGGAGAAATAACATTTCGACTTAGAAAATATATATCTGTATAATAAAATATTTTCTTGTAGGTAAACGTATAATAATATTATCAGATTTACAAGATATAGATCGATATCATAATTTATTGATCAAATCGTTAGCAAAATTAATGGATGAAAAAACATTTGATCTTTCATTAATTGAATCTTCATTCACGGATAAAGTATTTATATATATATATGCACTATTTCTGCATTGAATATTCTTTTTTTATTTCAAAGATTGATTCGCTAATTGATATTTGTTTCCAACATAATGTTATTCCACATATTGATTTTTCTCGAAAAGAAATAACACTTCGCGGTGATCGTGAATCATGTTTGCAATGTTTTTTTTAATTTACGTCAAGAAAAGAAAATTCATGAATATAGTTATGCAATCACTGTAAATGGAGAAAAAACTAGTGAAGAAAAATTCAATTCTTATATTTCATTAAAAATTGATGAAGCTTTTGCTGTTGGAGAAACAAATGTTAGTTTTATGTTTTATCTATTGATTATATATATTTAATAAAATAATATTTGATTAGATACGTATCAATGATGATTCAATGATTTTCAGTATTGATTTAAATAAATTACAAGTACAAATAAATGACAAGAAACAATCAGCTTTTCTTATTAGAAAACCATTAAATGGTAAAAGAAAAATAAAAAGATTTTCTATTGATAATATCAATTGTTTTCTTCATAGATTCCAAAATAAGAATTCCATCACGATGGTCTTCAACGTCATTAATGATTCGTACAGTATTAATGAGAAAATCTTTGTATGAATCCTTAGAATGCTTTCAAGATTTCAATAAAACAATGTCAATGTCTGATTGGCAAATTGAACGAGTAAAAAATCTATACTTAAAAAGAAAATATTTTCTTTACAAATTTCATATAGATTGAATCAATTGAAAATTATCCACTATATATGCATTTTATGACTAATAGAAAAGAAGAAACAAAATTATATTTTCATGGTTGTTCTTATTCATCTGTTCAATCTATAATACATTATGGTTTTCATACAACAAATACTTCAAATTATGGTTTGTTAATTCAACAATTATATTATTTAAATTTACAAATTTCTTTTTTTCCTATTAGGTGATCAATTTCGAAGTTCTTCAAATGAATCGATTTGTTTTACACGTAATGTATTAGATAGTCATTTATATGGTACTCGTCGTTCATCAGATGGAAAACATTATATATTTGCTGTTGAAATATCTAAGAATGATGATAATAATAATAATGATTTTACTTTATTATCG